CTGCCGCCAAGCTGTAAATGTGGCTTACAAGCCACGGCAGTTACCACAAAGCACTTTGCCCACATTTGCAGTTATGTGTACCTGACATATATGCATACAATAGGCTAACTAATCAATTGACAATGCCGAATGTATTAATCTTAGTTTTTCCAAAAAACATCGTACACTGCACCAAGGAATGAATAGTAATACAAATACATGCATGGTTTGAGGTAAAGTAGTGAATTGTACTTCATGAGGTGTTGGACGATGGGGACGACCTCCCGACATGAGGTAGCTCCCAATCATCCAACAACAAAACTCCCTCTTTAGTTTGAAAACTCATGTCAAAAAGAAGCCCTCTGTTTAAACTGGGATTCTTCTCGAGATTTAGCCCACTGGGCTTTTATTCAAGGTTTTAATACTGTATATATACTGTCTCTTATACACATCTAGATGTGTATAAGAGACAGCCAATAGTCAACTGACAATTCCAAAAGTAAGTCTACCATAGATTTTTCTTAAAAACAAGTAAATTAAGGCAAATCATGAAGTAAAAAAGGCCAGGAATTTAATTTTAAATGTTGCATGTAAGAAAAGGCCATCCAGACAATTAAATTCTGTCAAAATTATGACATGCCTTAATATTGTCAATGTATGCCTACAGTGTAACCATGGACATTAAACATTATTTTTTTCAAATCCCTCAGCCAAATAAATGGAAATTTAAATAGAATTTTCACAAATTATGGTTTCCAGAAATCTATTAAATGTCAGAACTTCTTGGCCCCAGCCTAAGACATCACACACCTCCCTCCCCCACTTCCCCAACGAACATTCTGCCACGCACCTGTAAGTAAGGTATTAATATAAATCTATGTAAACTATATAAATCTGTAAAGCCTGCTTATTATTAGGCCTATGCAACTATTCAAAGACTTATTTGAATGTAGCAGTGGCAGGACCCACACCAGTACAGAGAGAGAGAGAGCTCTTAGTGAAAAAAAAAATTGTATACCTTTACAGAATATGAGGCTGTAAGATCGATTATAGATCTTAAGCAGTAAAAATCTCTAAATCAGAGCTTCCTGGGCTTCTCCCTTGGACCCCCTCTAGGTTTCGAGACATTGAACCTCCCCTGCCGTTGGGAAAGTTTTGGGGCCACCACTTTTGATTTTGGATGATTTTACACAAGCAAGAAATACCATCATTAATATGAAATAGTAAAAAAATAAAGTGTGTTCTTGGCAAAATATTAAACTAATCTTATGGTTGCAATAATTATAATGAATCTAGTGTCCCAAAATATTGTACTGTAGTACAATTAGAAATAGAACAGAATTTGAAATTGCCAAGATCTTCAAAGGCCTTTGTGGCCAGTTGAGGAGACCTAGGCCACAGTATATCAGTGTTTCCACCTTAGGTCCGTAGTATCTTTGGCCTGTTAGATCAACTCTAAAAATATTTTGGCCCTTTAAATAAAATAAGAACCAGGACATAGATTATCAAATTTTTGCAGACATGGCTGAATATCAATACATATTTTAAATTCATTTTTTTCATTGGATGAAATTTTACTCTTTCTGTTTCATGCATGTGTTTACTTTTGCAATCACTAGCCGATTCTCAGTTAGTTGTTTTGCAGTATTAGATCATTTAGACAAACAGACCATAATCTGAACAAAATCAGTATCTAACATATCACAGGGTGTAAGGGAGTGGTGAAGCCAAAAAAGTAAAATGCTACAATGTGTTTGTGTTCAATTGCACACCATTTAAATAAAGTGTAATGCTCTGACAATGCTGTTCAGATTTTGTTTCAACATGTTTTAAACAGTTTCAAATAGGTGAAAATATTTCAAAAAAACAACATCATTTTCTTCAAAATAAATAAATGAGATATTCATGTTTACTTTTATAGATCCCTTTCAGCTCCAGTCTTCATTTAGAGGTTTCAGGTTCAGTTACCTTTTAATAATGCTGTTTGGAGACCACTTGGCCTGTGGTTTGTATTAGCCATGTTCTCACGATCACTCCTATCCGATGCAAGTTAATGAGAAATCCTGTCAAGTTCGCATCAAATTTTATCGTATGTCTACACGAGAGTTCTAGCGGATAGTTATAGCGCTTATACACTGATATAAAAAAGTTGAAGATTAAAATTATTTCTATTGATCTCATGATGATGATTCAATAAAACAAAGACGGCAAAACACAAAGTACATTAGGCGAGGGCCTGCCTGGGCTAAGCCTGCTTTGAATTGGGTAGGCAGTAGGCCATCCCAACTATCGACAAATAAAAGGCAAAATATGGTTTAACATCCAATTTTTTCATCTTCACTTGGTAGTGCATTCCGAGTTTTTTTCTCACCTATCCTAAGCCTACCTATTAAAATTTAGGAGATTTTTTCGGCAGCATTTATAACCTGAGCCTCCAAATGTACAGTAGTATGCGAGTACGAACGTTGTTCGTGGTTCTTCTTGATAAAATGTGTGAATTGTAGTGGCTAAAGATTAGGCTACCATATTAGCTGTAATTTCAGAATCATGTACGTACATTATCTCACAGGCGTTCACCGTATCTCGTTCAGCCGTATCTTTAGACACAGCGAATGAACAACCACGGTATTTTGCAGATTTCCCAAAAAAAGACATGAAAATTTATATGAAGTTTACAACGAACAGTAATAATATAAATTGGTCCTGTGATGATTTATTTGGATTACTTTTGACAATTATGAAGTTAAAAACAACTCAAAAAGGTAATTTTAAAGATGCTTTGGTTAATATTATGAACCACTTAGGCCTAGTAGAATTGCCTAGAAAACGAGATCGTGGTCAAGCTACCGATGTTATTGCAATCAACATGTGGCAAGTCAATTAACAGAAAGTTCTATCAGATGAGAGCCTTGCCAATCTGGTCATTTGTCGGTGTTAGCTTGCGGGGTGAAGCGCTTGTTATCTATCAGGTGACCCCGTTCATACGGTCGGTGTCAGCCTCATAACAAGCACTTGTTTGATAACTACAATATCACCGGTGTAACTTACACCGTCGGAAAACAAGGCTATTTAGAGGTTGTTAATTTGAGACCGAACCTGAAACCACCCCTAATTTCAGGCCCTTAAAAGTGGTCTCGAATTGGAGGATGGACTGTATTACACTATCTTCATATTCATATTAAATAATATCAAATGTCTCTTGTAGAATGGCAGTTATATTGATGTATTGTGACCCAGACTTTTGTTACAGCCATTGCAGGTACCGGTACCAACTAGACTGAATTGCTCGTTCACTAATTCATTCAACAAATTTCTACTACCCAAAGAGCCACTCAGTGGCTGAGAGGTACATACTTTCATCTGTCCACAAGGACAGGGGCCGGATGAACCAGTACACCAGGGTGAACCCTGCTCGTCCGTTCTATAGCAAAACAACCTAACTTGAAATTTTCACTTTTGGAGAAAAATAGAGTTAAAGTTTGCATGTTTGCAACTTAGTAATAAATTGTTGCACCCTTTTGAAATTTTGCAGAATTGTATATCTATAGACATTGTGATTATATGTAAAATTTTAATTACAACCATTTGTTAATTGCAAAGTTATAAGCAATATTCACAGATATGTTGTTTTGCCTCAGAAACGTGTTAGGATCAGTATTGTTGCAAGTGCAATATATTTTTGGAATTTATCACATTTGGGGCAATCATATGCATTATCTAGGTTCTTCATACGTCGCTGTTAAGATTATTGATATGAAAACATCAATAACCAGTTTATTTCGCCTTGCCAAACTCCATCAGCTCAAACAAATTTTGAATACCATTCCGAGGCAAAGCAGCGTATCTTCATCGTAGATACAGTACGTTGTTTTGTTCCGTAATCTTGTAGTTACGTTGTTTTACCACAGAAACAACTAAATTTTAAGTTTTGTGTTTTTTAGGTGCTATTTTCAAAACGACTCATTGTTAAGACCTGAAATTTTCACAGGTAATTCAGACGTGTTTACTATACTCCCAAATGATGTATTATCTCAAAATTGACAAAAATGTTGTGTTGTTTTGCCTTGGGACGGGCTTTGGGTTAATGATATTAAGGCTGTATATACAGTAGTTACCCTTGCTGTACAACCTGGCTACTTGCACTCACTCAAGCCTACAGCATATCTCAGTCGGAAGATGGTTTCTATCCACGTATTAATCGGGCCCTAAACTTTGGTGATCTGGTGAGAAATGGTGTTTCAAAGTTGTCTAGCAGTTATACAGTAGGAGTAGTATTAGTAACTAAGAGAGCATGCAGCTAAACTCGGTCCATAATGTGTACAGGGCCCTTAGTAAACAGAGCACATTTTAACCCCAACTAGTTGGGTGTTTGCCAATTAGTGTATCAAGGTTTATCCATTAAACTGTCAATTATATCCTTGAGTGAGGCATAGCTAGTCCAGTTGCACTACTGTGCCATAACTGTACTATGTGTCAGTGACTTTGCTTGCAAAAAAACCTGCTGTGATTAAGAATGTAGTAAGCTCTTTATAACTGTAATACTGCAAAAAAATCTAAGGGCCACGTACACCTAATGTCGGCTAAACTGGTGGCAACCACTGTATGTGCATTGAACCATGGAGATTTCATGGTCCGCGGTTCAATCCCCGTCGCTGATGTACTTGTGTTTCAATGCTGCACCTTCTATCGGATGAGATGTTTAGCGGTCCTGTGTGCAATATGGCCTATGTGTATTTTTACAGAACACAGTACATTCTATTTCATGGTCCCAAAATATGTTTGATTTATCGTGGTTCAGATCTTTCTGTGTTGTTGGGGATCAATGAATATATCTTGACAAAAAAACCATGAATACATCTCAGATTTGCTTTCTTGCAAGTGAACACCATCGAAATACTTTTGTAAGTATGTTTTTGAACATTCTTCCCACAAAAAGGAGCCATGTAATCACCCTTTTATCCTTCAAATTCACTCAAATTTGTTTTTTCAAAAGTTGTTTTTTTTTTCCAGGTATTATTTAGGCTAATGGTTCCGTGCATCATGTCATAGTACATTAGATTGCAAGAATACTTCTTTGAAAACATCTTTCTAAAGCAATTGAAAGATCAGTATGGAAAATTTTCTTTGTTGAGAGTTTGTTCAACTATAAATAGTAATAGATTTTTGGATATGTTTTGTGTGAACATACTTTATGGATACGTTCAAGATTTACTGTTTCACTGCAAGTAGGATGATGTAACCTTTATATGCAGCAAGGTCAATCTGGCCCCATAGGAAGGTCAGCAATTTCCACCTGGGTAAAGTAGTAAAATGCTCAGGTTATCAGATTAACCGCAGACCTACCAATTCTTATGCATTTGGAATGAGACTTGCGCATTCAAGTCCTCTCTCGTGCTTAAAGACCAAAGCCTCACATAATAATTGCTAAAAAAAAGTGTGGGTATATGGTACCTTTATACACTAAACAAATTCCCTTTCTAGTTTATCTGAATAATGTTCTTGTCTTTGTGACCAAACTGTTGCTCTTTCAAACACTGTGAATAAAATAAAACATATTTGCTGCCTTGCACCATAAATGTTTTTATTCTCAAATCAATATTTTGTAACAGATTTTTAGTTGTAAAATATACTATTCTGGAATATGTGTATATAAGCTTATACATAATTATACTTAATTCATATATGTAGTCAAGTATATACTTAGCATTTTCTAGCATTCATTTCTTTATATTTTTTAGCCATTATTTATTCTATTAAAGTATTAATAAACATTTTCCCCATAAAACATAAAAATTAAATATATGAATATATATGATGTATATACTTAGCATTTTTTAGCATTCATTATCTATATTTTCTAGCATCATAACATCATTCATGATTAAGCTGTGTTTAGTGTTCAGCTTGCGCCATTGTTTACAATTTCAATTCTTGATTTATCCAGTTTAATAAATATATGATATTTTAAAGCCATGCTTTGAAGGAAAAAAGGAATTCGGTATGTTGTACAGATAGATTTTTTAAGACACTGAAGTCATTGGGTCCACCAGGCCTGGAAAAAACTTTCGTGCCTCCAACAAAGAAAATTACCTTGATCAAATGGCTCCAGGGCCAAATGTTATCTTTACACTATTATAGCGAAACTGTAGTACATTTTGGAGCAAGCCAAAATACTATATGCATTGAATTGTGATGTGCAAAAAAAAAAATGCCTCCAGGTTAAAGGTCAAAGCCTCTGACCACCACCCGCACGGTTGCGCACTTGTCATATTGGCGCAGTAGCAGGAAACCCCACCAGGTACCCATTTATACTGCTGGGTGAAGGGGAGCAATACAGATAAAGTGCCGAAGGACGCAAGCAAAAATGCTCAGCAAGGGATAGACCTCAAAGTTTGAAAACCAAAATGTTCCCCCCCCCCCTGCACGAAACAGCTTCCAATTATTGTGATGACTTTCCTTAAAGACACAAAGGGCAGTAACCACTCTTATTCCCACAGGTTTAGATATTCAAGAATCACCAAGCCAAAAACTGTTTTCTGCCTCGCTTTGATTGTATTGTTGTTAGTAATGTTACAACCCACCTCATACTATACATTTCTATTCTATTAACTTTATTTGCTAACTACTTATCAGTGGCAATGCCAGTGGGGCACAGGAACCTCAATTGTGAAAGCTGGGCGGGCCCCTGTCGAGGAAGGCAGAAGCTGATTAATTCGTCAAGTAACATTGCTTGGAAAAAGTATTTTTACAGTGTTGTGTCTAAGCATCTACAGATGGCTATATTTAAAATTTGCTCCCTCCAGGGTAGAGCTGTCGTGGGTAGAGTCCCCCATCAGAATCTTGTGCCCTTTTTTGTGGAGTCTCTGGTTCCCCCACTGCTGCCAATGCCATTGAGAGTATCTTATCTGCCTAAACAAATACAGTTATTTATTTATTTATTTATTCTTTCGTTTGACTGGATAGAATTTTTAGTAACACAGTACTTCTTTTCAAAATAGTCCAGTTTCCTTAAAGTCGAAGACAAAATTAAATTACTAAAAAGTACAAAAATTCAGTACACGTATGAGTATGCATAAAATAAGTATTAGGATTAGAACACATTTTGTCTGGTTCTCTTTTTATGATTTAAAGTTCAATTATTTCAATATGAATTTATTTTAGCCTATACGTGTGACAATTATTGGGAAGGGGCCAGGGAAGTGTTCGGGGGAGGCGTGGTCGGGGGAGGCGGGGTCGGATCCATCTCGGGTTCTTCAGTTTCAAAGTATTGCCCGTTGAAATTTGTGTTGGTTGTTGTGTGCATTTTGCATACATAATTATGTTGTTTGCCTCCTTTTTCAATTCGTTGATGTTTAAGTACATAATGTGTGAGTGAGCCTGTTCCTGTGGGCATGTAGTAATAATCGGGATTTAGCTTCTCGAAGTCGTATCCAAAATACATATTCATCCAATCAGAATATAGTCCAATTATAACAGGATTGCTATCCAGTCTATCGATGATTCCGTCAAGCCATACTTGCAGAAAGTTATATTCGGCAGGGGTGCTTGCAGATGGAAGATGGGCAATTGATCCAGATGTCGAGGAAAACTCGTTGCATTCTGCTTCAGCTTCAACTTGTGAGAGACTACTACCAGAATAAAACAACCTAGAAAAAGGTAGCCTTATAAATTGCAAGATACATATATATATAATATAAATCATCAAAGATACATATATAATACAGTGTTTAAGTAAGGACATGATGGAACATCGTAGGCTACCCTGTAGCTTTTCAACGAATAGAGTCTTATAAAAGTCATTATGTAATAAAATGCCTCCGACGGGATTCAAACCTGTGACTTCTCGCTGACAAGGCGAGCGTCATAACCACTAGACCATGAAGGCTTCATGGTTGAACAGGTCCAAATAACCGTCGGGAAGAGTGCTGCACCATGTATGTGTAGCACGAAACTAAATGTAATAAATATGTCTAATCAAAGCTACTGTTGAACCCCTTTTTTTTTTGTCTTTAATTCGCTCTGG